CTGGGCGTGGTAGCGCGCGCCTGTAGTTCCAGCTACTTGGAAGGCTGAGGCGGAAGGATCGCCAGAGCCCAGCAGGTCGAGGTTGTGGTGATCTGGAGCATGCCACTGCACTCCAGTCTGGGTGACAGAGTGAGACTCCAACTCGGTAAAAAAGAAAAGAAAACAAAACAAATATAATTTCATAGTAATTAGGATAGCTATGCTTTCAAAAGCTCAGAAACTACCCTGGTACAGTGGTACACTCCTGTAGTCCTAGCTACTTGGGAGGCTGAGGCAGGAAGATCACTTGAATCCAGGAGCTTAAAGCTTCAGTGGACTATGAATGGGCCTATGAATAGTCACTGCACTCTAGCCTGGGCAAAGTAGCAAGACTTTGGCTCTAAAATTAAAAAAAAAAAAAAAGTTCAAGCCAGGCATAGCGGCTCACACCTGCAATCCTAGCACTTTGAGAGGTGGAGAAGGAAGGAATGCTTGAGCCCACGAGTTTAAGACCAGCCTGGGCAACAGAGTGAGACTTCATCTCTACAAAAATTAAATTTAGCCAGGTGTGGTGACACACATCTGTAGTCCCAGATACTCAGGAAGCTGAGGCAGGAGGATCGCCTTAGCCCAGGAGGTTGGGGCTGCAGTGAGCTGTGATTATGCATTCCAGCCCGAGACCCCAACCAAAATAAAAAAAGTTCAAAAACTTTAGTCTTCCCTAAAGCCCTGAAGAATAGTATATAGTATTCCAACATGGAGTGTTTTAACCATCATCAGATTTTCAACATTGTGGTATAATAAAAAGTTGTAATTATAGTAATTTCCTTAGGCAGAGGGAGCTTACTTTCTGAATGCAATATTAAATGAAGATGAAACTACTTAATTTGCAGATGTTAGTATTTTGTAAGTCAGGTCTCACTCTGCAGTAGTTTTACATCTTCAATGTGGATACTTCTCTTATCTCTTGATCATATCTAATATGTAAATCCCATCTATATATTTTAGTTTTGTTCTAATACCAGAGGGTAGGGGATTACTATACCTTGAAGTAATTTGTCAAGTTCTTTGGAGCCAGTGGTAATCTGTATGATCTCTGACCGCCTTTGGTGGAATTCAGTTGCAGTGGTGAAACCCATTGGAACTAATTTAGCTGCCTCAGCCTGGGAAAAATAAATGTTAACTCAACAAAATAATAAAGCAATTAAGAACCAGATGTACAGTGAAAAGAACAAACGTCTAACACAGTTTTTAGGATGATTTCTCTTTAAAAAGTAATCAAGCTGAGCGCAGTGGCTCAAGCTTGTAATCCCAGCACTTTGGGAGGCTGAGGTGAAAGGATTGCCTGAGCTCAGGGGTTCAAGACCAGCCTGGGCAACTTGGTGAGGCCTCATTTCTACAATAAATAAAAAAATAAGCCAGGCATGGTAGTGCGTGCCTGTAGTAGCAGCTACTTGGAAGGCTGAGGCAGAAGAATCGCCTGAGCTCATCAGGCTGAGGCTGCAGTGACTGTGAGTGTGCCATCACACTCCAGCCAGGGCAACAGGGTGAGACTCTGACTCAAAAAAAAAAAAAAATTTTTTTTTAAGTCAAAAAGTATAGCCAGCCGGGGTCGATAGCTCAGCCTGTAATCTCAGCGTTTTGGGAGGCTGAGGTGAGTGGACTGCCTGAGCCCACGGGTTCGAGATTCGCCTGAGCAACATGGTGAGACCTCATCTCTACAATAAAATCAAAAAGTTAGCCAGGTGTGGTAGCTCACGCCTGTAGTTCCAGCTACTTGGAAGGCTGAGGTGGAAGGATCGCCGGAGCCCAGCAGGTGGAGGCTACGGTGGTCGGGAACATGCCATTGCACTCCAGTCTGGGTGACAGAGTAAGACTCCAACTCAAAAAAAAAAAAAGTATAGCCAAATTCAGACTCCATAAGGATCAATTTTTAAAGTGCCAATTTAAGTAACATATTCATATAGTTTAAGAAAGCTATTATAGATCCATATGTGCCTTGCCTAATTTATAACAAAAATGACAGTACAGTACATATTTATACCTTCATTTCCTGCTGTATCAACCACACACTTTCTACTTTGTAAAATGAGAACATTTACCCTTCCATTTTGTCTCCCTCCATGCCTACTTCTCCATCTATCAGGTGTATCTTTTCTTTTCTTTTTGATTTAGAGTCTCACTCTGTCACCCAGACTGGAATGCAGTGGCCGCTCCCAGCCACCGCAGCCTCGACCTGCTGGGCTCCGGCGATCCTTCCGCCTCAGCCTTCCGAGTAGCCGGAATTACAGGCGCGCGCTACCACGCCCGGCTGATTTTTTGATTTATTGTAGAGATGAGGTCTCGTTGCCCAGGCGGGTCTCGAATCCGCGGGCTCAGGCAATCCACTCACCTCAGCCTCCCAAAGGTGCGGGATTACAGGCTTGAGCCACCGAGCCCGGCTGTATCTTTTCTTACATCGTCAAAAGAACATTTATACTGTATTTCATAGTTATAGATAAGTCTTCTATAATAGGATACGTTGATTCTAAAATTTAAAAATAAATGCATTCACATATACAGAAATAACCAACAAGTCAAAGAAGAAATCACAAGGGAAATTAGAAAATACTCTTGCAATGAGTGAAAATGAAGACACAACATACTACAATGTATAGAAAGCAATAAAAACAGTACTCAGAGGAAAATTTATAGCTGTAAACACCTATATAAGAAAAGAAGGCCAGGCCCAGTGGTTCACATCTATAATCCCAGCACTTTGGGAAGCAGAGGCGAGAGAATAACTTGAACCCAGAGAGACCTCATCTCTACAAAACAAAAATAAACAAAAACAAAAAAATTAGCCAGACATAGTGCTGTATACCTACAGTCCTAGCTACTTGGGAGACTGAAGTTAAAGAGGGATTGTCTGAGCCCAGGAGGTAGAGGCTGTGGTGAGATGTGATCATGTCAATGTACTCCAGCCTGGACAAGAGAGTGAGACCCTGACTCAAAAAAAAGAGAGAGAGAAGAAAAGGCAGACAATATGGCTTATGCCTATCATCCCCAGCTACTTGGGTAGCTAAGGCAGGAGGATCGTTTGAGCTTAGGAGTTTGAGATCAGTCTGGGCAACAAAGCAAGATCCCATCTTAAAAAAAAAAAAAAAAAGACAAATCATAACCTAACCTTTCAAGAAGAGCAAACAAAACATGAAGGAAGTAGAAGGCTAATAAAGGCGAGAGTGGAAATTAATAAGTGAAGAATAGAAAAATAGAGAAAGATCAGGTTAAATTTATAATTTTAAAACCTTGCACAAAGGAAAAAAAATCAAAGAACAATTTAGTAGGTATTATTCTCTAAACTTTTCTATATACTTAATATTACATTTAAAGATTCATTGCAATGTTTACATTATAGCTTTGTAAATATATTCATTGTGGAACCAAATGGTATGCTAGAAATAAAATTTCTTCTCTAAGCTTCCAGTGTTACTAATGCTATGTCTCTCAAAGCTTTCTACTGACAAATTCAAATAAATTTTTAAACATACTACCAGTTTCAAAATCATAACTCACCTTACCTGGCTTTGTATCTGAAAAATGTGTTTTTCTCTAGTATTCTGACTTTATCATTTGTCAAATTTTCCCAACCTGTTAATCTTACTATGTATTCTACTGAGTCCCTCTTTCCACGTGAAGATCCCCTTTTTCCAAACTAAGTTGTCTGCTTTGTAGGCTAGCTATTGTCCTAGGCCTTCCTTCACTGGGTATGAGTGAGAACCACTCAAACACAGATCCTAAGTTTTCTGCCCTCATTTTGGTAAAGCATGTCCTCAAGTAACTTCTTCAGAAAAAGTAGATGAGAGAAAAATGTTCTAAATTCTTATATTTCTGGTATTGTTTTATTTTGCCCTTCTACTTGATTAATAACAGTTCTACAGATAGATTTCCAGGTTTAAAATTATTTTCCTTCAGAACTTCAAAGAAATCACTTTACTAGCTCCTACCATCCAGCTTTCTGATAAAAACGTGCTACCTTTCTTTCTGTCCATTTAGAGGTCAGTTATTTTGCTCTTTAAAATTTTTTACTCTTCTCTTTATGATTGGTATCTTGAAATTTTATAATGATGGATATAGGTGTGGGACTTCTGCTTTTCTTCCACTCTGGGAAATTTTCTTGTGTTATTTCTTTGAGACTGTCTTCGCTTCTCTTTCCTATGATCTCTCTTCCTATAACTTCTATTGATCTTCAAGTTGAATGAAGATTAATTACAATACTAAAAAGGAGGGGGGAAGAAACTATAAACCAATATTGAACTCTAGTCAATAATATGCATGCTAAAATATTTAGCGGGAAGTGTACTAAGAGCTGCAACTTTGAGAAGTATTAAAAAAATGCAAAATGGACTGATTGCTGAATAGAGAAATGGATAAATAAAAGCATAAGTATATTAAAATGTTAATGGTAGCTGGGCTCGGTGGCTCAGCCTGTAATCCCGCGCCTTTGGGAGGCTGAGGTGAGTGGATTGCCTGAGCCCGCGGGTTCGAGACCTGCCTGGGCAACTTGGCAAGACCTCATCTCTACAATAAATCAAAAAATTAGCCGGGCGTGGTAGCACGCACCTGTAGTTCCAGCTACTTGGAAGGCTGAGGCAGAAGGATCGCCGGAGCCCAGCAGGTCGAGGCTGCGGTGGCCGGGAGCAGCCACTATACTCCAGTCTGGGCGAAAGAGTGAGACTCTGACTCAAAAAAAAAAAAAAAAGTTAATGGTAAAGTCTAGGTTGTAGGTATGAATGTGCATTGTAAAGTGTTTCGTGTGTTCAAAATTTTTAATTAGTGTTAGAAAACAAACACAGAAGAGGATGCTTTCCCTTCCTGTCATTTCATTTCAACCTCTATGTTTGATAGTATAAGAGCTTTTTTTTTTGGTGGGGGGAGTGGGCCAGAGTCTTACAATGCTGCCCTGGGTGGAATGCAGTGGTGCAACCATAGCTTACTGCAGCCTCAAATATCAGGGCTCTAGGGATCCTCCCGCCTCAGCCTTCTGAGTAGCTAGGATTACAGGAATGTGCCACATCTCCCAGCTAATTTTTTAATTTTTAATTTGTAGAGACAGGGAGCTGGGGTCTTGTTATGTTTCCCAGGCTGGTCTCAAACTCCTGACTGCAAGCAATCCTTCTGCTTCGGCCTTCTACAAGCCCTTAAAGAAACAGGGCTGGGCGCAACGGTTCATACCTATAACCACAGCACTCTGGGAGGCTGAGGCACGAGGACTGCTTGACCCGGAGTTCAAGACCAGCCTAGGCAACATACCGAGACCTTATTCCTACCAAAAAAAAATGCAAAAATGAGCCAGGTGTGATGGTGTGCGCCTGTAGTTCCAGTTACTTGGGAGGCTGAAGTGAGCTGGGACTGTGCTACTTACATTCCCACGGGGGTAACAGAGTGAGACCCTGCCTCAAAAAAAGAAAATAAAGAATATAATAACCAAAATAAGTTTGATATAGAAACCATGAACTTTTCTAATCTGGCAGACCTTTACTTCTGTTCTTATACTTACATAACAAGCCTGCTTTTCATCTGTGCTAGGTAAAAGTCTTAAATTTGCAGGAGTTTTCAATAGCCAAGAACTACCAAACACTGGAACACAAGGCATAGATGGCTAGTAAAAAGAAAAATATTACAAAAAATATTCATACCGAACCCTGTCATCAGTGCTCTCATGGTTCACCAAGAAACTGCAACTCAGTAAAAACCAATTATAATTACATTTAACTTTGAAAACATGAAAAATGCTACAGAAGAATCTGTAACCTTTTTTTCTTTTTTTGAGTTGGAGTCTCATTCTATGACCCAGGATGGAGTGCAGTAGTATGCTCACAACCACCTCAGCGTCAATCTGCTGGGCTCCAGAGAACTTTCCGCTTCAGCCTTCCAAGTAGTTGGAACTACAGGTGTGTACTACCATGCCCACCTAATTTTTGATTTATTGCAGAGACAAAATCTCGCCAAGTTGCCCAGGCTGGTCTCAAATCCATGGGTTCAGGCAATCTACTCACCTCGGCCTCCCAAAGTGCTGACATTACAGGCTGAGCACTACCAAGCCTGGCCAAAATCTGGCACTTTCTAAATGAATTATTTCATTTATGGCTGGATACAGTGGCTCACACCTGTAATCCCAGCA